TATTAATATTGTGCTAAAGCAGATCGTACATAATTTACCATGTAAATAGAATTTAAATTTAAATAAAACGATTCATAAATATTTTATAGATAAGGTCGTCTTTGTTCTCTCTTTCCAATTTTATGTTATTTTGTTCAATAGAGTCTCTTTTCTGTCTATCAGAGACACTAATACCCCAGGGGTATTAAAGTGAAGCATACATCGACATATCTACGAGTACTTCTACTAAGCAAAAATACGTCAGGCTTTTCTTAAAAACATTTTCTATTTTTATTATAAATAATATTCACAAACTATTATTCAAAAAATATCAATTTAATAAATTTGTATTTATTAAATTCTGTGGCTAAAAGAACGATTGGGAAAAGAACATCCTTTATTTTAGATTTGTTATGGCATATGTCGGAAAAAGAACTGACGGGTAAGCAAATTGGCGCCACCTACACACCCACGAAAAGAATTACAAGTGAGTACTTGACCTTTTGTGAATTGTTAGCGATTTAAGGATAGGTGATTGGAGGTCTGAGGATGGGGAAATACAATGAAAGATTTTTTCACGCTGTGAGGCCATGGTATCACTTTATCTGAACCTGTCCGCTCGCGCCGAAGCATGTCCATTCTAAACTTTTTACATAATTGCATTTTGGTTTAATAAAGTACAGTTTTGGTCTTTCTTATTATTTCTGTAATAAAACTCAACATGATATAAATATTCTCAGCTATCAAGTACATAGCTAATTTATTTTGTATTTTAGAAATTACTTAAATCAATAATAATAGTACAATAAAATATGGCCCTCAACATGCCAATACAGTTTCTCGTTTGGAACATTATATCGCTCCAGTACACATTACCTTGTTAGATGTTCGCAGAAAATTACAATGTCACAAAGTTTAGCCGTTGAAACTGAACCGATGTATACCGTATAACTTAGACAATGGTGTAACTATTCATGATTAACTTTACTCTAGTTTGACTGGAATTTCATTGTAAACTCTAACAGTAGAGGGGTCAATTACAATTTTTTTTTTTTATCTCGTAACTTTGTTTCGTGCTGTCTGAAGTTTAAGCTCATTCTTTAAGTATATTCCAATGTGAACTTTTCTTTGAATTATCATCACACATCATCAGTCTATAAGTGCTCATTTTTGAGCAAAGACCTTCTCTTTTCTCTTCTCACACGAAGAAGGTTTGAGCATTAATCACTACGCATGCTCAAGGTGGATTGGCGATTTTAAACTTATAATTAGAAATTATAAGTCCAGGTTTTCTTACGATGTTGTTATTCACAATCTGTCAGTGGTGTCTAAATAATCATAGAAAGTACTTATAACTCAGACAAAGTCACATTAGTGCTTGGCAGGTTTTGAAGCCGCGCCCGTTTATGTTCAAACCTTCTATCTCCTGCATAACTGCTCCGGCTTCAAAACCTGGGTGGTCTAACCTTCGGGCCAACACGACATGGCCTCAGTATTAGAATCGTGTTAAATTAGGTTTTTAAACCAATAAATAAAATAAAACAGCAAATCTACATACCATTTTTTTACCTATTTTCATAATTAAAGAACTAAATCTTCGGTCACAAATTTTGGTCAGAAATTTAGTATAACTGTATAATTATTATACTTGTTAACTTGTAACTCCAATACATTAAGCCCCTGCATCATCATCTCCTCATAAATTCACGATATTATTATGTAGAACAGAAGAATTACAAAAATTGTATAGGGCTATTCAGTCATAGTAAAACAGGCCTTCAGTTTTCAGAAATCTCAAGCACTAACGAATTTACTTCTAAGCCGCTGTTAATGACTTGAAGGGTCTTCCATAACAAGGGATATACTTTATTTATGAGTTAAGTTCATTAAAAATGAGAAGGGAAACTAATTTAAAGAGGAAAATATTGACACGGCTTAATGAGTCTGGGATGAAGCATTATTTTTTTATTTATGATGGGCTAGCGTTTGGCCATTATCTCGCCTGGTGCTAAGTAATAAGGCGACCTCCGAGCTCGCCTCCAAAATCCAAGCATTGGTACTTACTAGGTCAAATGCATGAGAGGCGGTGCCTTGCCCTCCGGACCACCACGACGATATGGCAAAGCACGTCACTCAAAAGTACCAAGAACTCATCGATGCTCGGAATCGATTAAAGTTGATATTTGTAGTGAAAATGTCAAACATAACTGATTCTGGGTAAGTTTAAAATAAAGGCTACAAGTCTAGTTGATTGGTGGGTCATGTTTCAATGAAATGTAACTCGATGAGTGGTTGAACCATTTGTATTGCATTAGACTGGTTTCAAATAGGTAAATGGTTCTAAGCAATATAATAGGTAAACAAAAAGCCTGTCCTTTTCTTACTTAAAAGTTCTTACTAAGTGTTTTAAATACCACAGACAAACGGCGAAGGAAAACGTCTCAAGGAAACCTGGACTTATTATTTGTAACTGTTAGTTTGAATTAAGAAACTCGTCGTGTGGTGATTTATGCTCATGCATACCTTCTCCGTGTGAAAAGAGGCCGTTGCTCAGCATTGAGCATTTGTAGACTGGGGATGTGTTGACGTGAAATTATTAGCTATATTTGGATTAAACTATAAGGTCTATTTTTGATTGAACTTTATTTTCAGACAAATATTTTATTAGAATCTAATAACGGTAACATTTTACTTTTTACAAAAATAACTTATGGATTTATTAATGTCGTTTCTTGAGTATTGGCAAATGTCAAGGATGATGAGATCTTCTTTACACGACTATGTACCTTATGTTCCTAAATAAATAAAAAATATAATAAACTTAGAAACCTAATGTGACAAGGCCGTGACTTCACATCACACAGACAGAATTAGATGTAATCGTCCTTTTACGCTTATGTGAGTCTGTGAATTAAGTAGGAATAGCGTGTTGCTTGCTCGTGCAGGCTGTAAAACCCGGCTAATGGAATCAGGCAGTCACTTCGCTCGTAAATAATGTCTTAAATACGCTGTTTAATGAAGTTGGGTTAGTTGCGAACATGCAACGCCATTTATGTGTCTATCTATCTGTTCTATAGTACTAGTGCTGACACTGGTTATGCTATTAACTTACTTGCAATTTGAGATAAGGTTATTGACCTTTACTAGGCATAATTATGGTTTATAGTTTCACCACCTAAGCCGTCAACAGATTTTGTTCAATTACGTAATTATCATTTTAATATACCTACATAAGTTTGTGTAGTTACTATTGTGATACACACTAAATTGGTCAAAAAGTCAAAATTAACGACTTCTTCTCAAGTAAATAAACGTTGCGGTAACATCACTCATAAATACGGGTCTCGCTGTGACTTGCAAAAAGAAAAGTATTTTTCACTTCATTCGAGTGATTAAGTTGTTTTTTTCAAAATCATAGCCTAGCCAGGCTAGCTTTATTCGCGTGTGATTATCCGCTTCTCGGCTCCTACAAATTGTAGCGTGATATTTTATATCCCAGCCTTGATCGATAAATAGACTAACACAAAAACAATTGTTAAATTCGAACCAGTAGTTCCGAAGATTAGCACATTCAAAACAACAAACTGTACAGCTATATATTGGTTTAGCAAATATATATAGATGTACCTATACAACGTTAATGTAATATAAATTATACGACACTATTTATTATTATTTCTAAACAAAAGCAAACCTAGTTATGTAATAATAATTATATTTAGAGAGAAAAAAGGTTCCATAAAATACTAGGTCATAACAGACACGTGGGATATCCCTGGCCTTAATCGAAGGGATGCTAATTACGTTGGTAAACCATCCATCTTTCCAGTCTAAATACCATAGATCATTGTGGACTAATCGAAAAACCATTTATGTCGCAGTCTTTTCTTTTCTTTGTGCTGAGTAAAGGTACTAATTTCAACCTTATAATATAAAATGTTATGGCTTTTTGTTTTACAAAATTATTTACTTATATGAAGTTGTTTTATCTGGTAAGTAATCATTGTATATATAAGTATCTATGAAAGTATAATATAAGATACAAAAAACTCTTACTTTGTGGTACCTATACATTAAAAATTTGAATTTGAATGTAACAATTTTATAAAATACTTGATAGAGATAAGAAAACTACAGAAAAATGCTGCCAGTTATTTTATTTTTGGTAGGTACAGTCAGTCAAAAATGCAATTGCATTCTACCAATTTTAAAAAGACCTTATCTTTGTAGAATAAAGGCAATGGTTGAGGACTGCTTTAATTTATAGCATAGAATCTAAATAATTGAATGAACTGGCCGTGAACCTTTGAACTTTTACTACAAAGAAATTTTAATTATTAATTTTCTAATATGTATCTATATAGCTTGAATAATATTGTGTCGCACCTTAAGGATTTCATAAAATACTGTTCTTTTCTATAAGGAATCTTACCACATATTTCAAAATCAGATCTCTAGCTCAACAGAATAATAAGTTCAAACAAACAATCTCCTAGGCTTTATAATATTAGAAGAAATACGACAACCTTTTGTTCGACATACAATCACAGAGATTTCTGCAAATACGACAGGAAAATCCAAAGACACGCACAAAACGCTAGAGAAAAAATAAATCTCTTCTATTCTAGAGTTCTATTCATTGATGTAAAATATGTCTCGGCAGACGGCGATCAATTCTCGACGTGTTCTCAGTGAGCCGTGAAATAAGTGCGAAACGTATAATGACTACCTTTTATACAATAAGTACATACGAAAAGTATGTTTCTAACCGCCGTTTTGTGTGGGAAGAAGGTTGGGAAACGTTTTGTTTTCCAAGTGACTGCTGGTTTTGTAGGTGAAAGTTATTTTTAAATTTCAAGGTCAAACTTTACCTCTACAATGTATTACTTATGTGTATTTTTATCAACATTTTTGGGTTAAAAAAGGTTATATACATTTTTTGATAATCCAACTCTGTCTATCTGTCAGTGTTTTCTTCACGCCTAACTACTGAACCGGTTTGTGTGAAATTTGGTACGGACATGGTTTGGAACTCGAGAAAGGACGAAAATCTCGCGAGATCGGGAACTATGTGAGTAAAACCAAAAATCTAGAGGAAGGAACTATTCCACTCAAACGAAATCGCGGGCAAAAACTAGTTGACTATAAGATATTCTGCAAAATTTACTACCATGTTCATTGTTCCTAGTCAACATTACTAAGCCCTTGACAACAGAACTTTGACTTACGCTCTCAATCAATCAACAGAGACTCCAATTAGAATAAACCAATTATACAAACAAAGCTGTAACAATACGCCACGCCAATAATAATAAGGGTACATCCATTTACGCATCTGGTGACCGGCACGGCCGTCACAAAGTACCAACTCAAGTACATCTGTGCACGTGAGGAGAAAACCCTTAACGAAATTACAAGGGATGTGGAGCCAACATTTGCTCAATGATAACGAAAATAAGCCAAGGATAATCGCAAAGGTAGGTACAGTTTTGCAATTTGTGTTTCATTCAATTTTGATCCTTTCTGTGTTGTAATTTTTCCAGAAAGAAAATGTACGAAGTCTGACACAAGATTAGGTAATTCAAATTAAATAGCATTTTAAAACAACATAATTACATATCAATATTTCTTCTGTCGGTCTGAGGTCAGATTACTTCGTAAAACAAACGAAACTAAAATAAATATTTTAAGTACTCATTTAAAAGAGCTTTACTTGGGAAAAACTATAGTGAAATGGGAGTTCCTCTAAAATGTATCCTAATATGAATCACACTCTTCGTTTGCAATAAAATATGGTAATAAGTTTAAATGTTTCCAAAAACAAAGAATAATTACATGTCGTAACCAACAACATAATTTTAGTGAAAACTATTTTCTGGCTAAGAATTTCAAAATTTTGTTCAAGTTTATTACTCAAGCGACATCTAAATGTTTCTCATTTATTATCCTATTAGTGAAAAGTTCATTTTGTGATGATAAATTTCTTTATTTAATCTGTTTAATTTATTTGAAATAGTGTACAAAGCTTATTATGTATTTAGTTTATAACTGAGAAACAAAGCATTTGATAGGTATTTGCGAAAATCTTCTACCGTGATAGGTCTTGAGCCTGACGCCTTAGTTTATTCTTAAGATCGCTAGCGTTCGACATTTCAAAAATATTGTAAACACAAAATACACATCTCTAAACAATTGTGTACAAATCACGTATCGATTAGATCTCGTAACATATAAAAAAAACTAAATGTTTCTAACTAATAATATGATTTCATTACTGATATAAATAAACAATTGAAAATGGGACAACTGAAATAACTGAGAAGACCAAGCACAACAATCTCCATTCAAAGTTAGAATAAAGCCGTATTGTGCGTCAAGGATTCAGAGTCTAGATAACAGTAAAGATATCTTCGAGATACATTCGCTTCGATGGTTTCCAACTATGGCAACATGCCGTGCATGTTCTGCTAATGAAGCAATTGCACGATCAAAACCGAGTTGCCTTGTTGGTTTGACAGTACAAGTCCCAAAATGGTAGGACACATCCTATTGTTTGGGGAAGAAAACGTTTCTCCAGAAGAAAATTAAATGTCATTATTTTATGGACTGTTTATTTCCAGCTATTTTCTGTCATTCGTCAACAAATGCATTCTTTATATGTGACTGGTGATAGTGACCCACCCCGGCTTTGCACAGGTGCAAAGCTGATACTAAATTTCTTCACTATTTATATTGGATTTTATTATACCTACAAACCTTCCTCTTCAATCAATCTATTTATGAAAATAACCACACAAATTCCGTTGCGTAGTTTTAAATATTTAAGCATACATAGGGACATAGGGACATAGAAATTGACTTTGTTTTATATACTATGTAGTGATTTAAGAAAGCCGTAGAAATGTGCTGTATCAAGAAATTCTGTAAAACAAGTTTATTATGATTTTTTCATACAACATTGCACACACCCATTAACTCTCTGTCTACAAAGATCCCTTAGAACCTCTTTCGATTATTTTAAAAGCAAAAATGCTACCTCTATGCCAAATATAAATACAGCAACACAGCAATTATGACATCACCGAAACTTCCCACAAAATTGATTGTAGTGTTGTGTTGAGACTTTTATACCTGCATTCAGTGAACATTACGAGCTGTAATGTTATAAAACAGACCGTTAACATAAAACGGCGCATAAAATTCTGTGTTCTGTAGCTATTAGATGACTTGCCTTATGACTTCCAATGGAAACTTAGATACCTCTGTGCAGTTATGTTTAAAGTTGCCAAAATAGAAGTGCTTAATGTGTTTGTTGAATTTATTTCTTAGTACGGAGTAATTTGACTTTGTGTAGATTTTAAATGTTTGTTTATTTTTGGTCTTATTGTGTTTTTATAGAATAAGAGGGGATGATGGTAAGTATTACAGTTGCTGGTCTTATTGTCTACATAATTAGTAAGTGTGAGAGAGCCTAGCTTAGTAAGTTTCGGCATGAATGAGTCGGCTCAACCGATAATGATACCACGGCCTCACAGAAATATTTACTAGGTAATCAATCAGCAAATTTGCCGACGTTTATTTGGTTTTAGTACCAGAACCACCTTGTATTGTGTCATTAAAAGCTTTAAATCTATTATAATAAAAGTCCAGTTCTTCTGTAAGCTACTACTTTTGATCATCATCATCATCATCATCAGCCTATAAGTGCCCACTGCTGAGCAAAGGCCTCTTCTCACAAGGAGAAGGTTTAAGCATTAATCACCACGCTGGCTCAATGCGGGTTGGCGATTTCAAACTTACAATTAGAAATTATAAGTCCAGGTTTCCTCACGATGTTTACCTTCACCGTATGTCAGTGGTGTCTAAATAATCATAGAAAGTACATATAACTCGGAAATAGTCACATTGGTACTTGCCAGGTTTCGAACCCACACCCTCATGCATGAGAAGCGGGCTCCTTAACCTCCAGGCCACCACGACAGTTAGACTACTTTTGATATCATACTTAATATAAAATGTTCATTGCATTGTTTAAAATATTCTATGATCTGGTTTATTTGATTTGTAGTACTTAATTCATTTTAAAGCTACGTAGGTACTTGTGTAACATAATTTAGAATCAAGAAGGTTTCAAACAAGGTATTTAGGCAAAGGTCGGAATAGCTTGAATATTAGGGAAATTCTAAATTCTGAGAACTCTCTACGTGTTAATATGTCGTTATTGTAATGTCGCAGGTCGTGTTTTTGTTTATTTGTGTAAGTGTGTTATTAATATGTTGGTAATTGTGGACTATTAACGTAAAAATGGGGTACTATTTTAGTTTCTTAGCTACTGCGAAATAAGAGTTATCAAAGTAAATCATTATGTTAGGAGAAATCTTAAAATCGTTTTGGAATAATAAGATTTGAAGTTTAGGCTTCACCTTAGGTTTTACCAAAATTGAGCTTAAAATACTACATTTAAATGTAGGAAATCCTTGCTTCTGCACAATTGGGTTGGTTCACAGAAAACTGGCATGAAACAACCACAGCGTTGTGTTTCACCATGTGTATGAGGTTACCATAGTAACCAGTCCTTCCCCTCCACCTTCCCTCCTCAATCCCTACACTTCCAAAACCCTGATCCCCAAAAAACCAGCCATGCACGCTAACTAATATGGAGTGGCTTACCATTAGGTAATCCGTAGGCTCGTTAGCTGACCTTTAACAAAAAATTATATCCTCGCATCTCAACGCGTGGTAGTCAGATTATAACAGATGGGGTCCGTGAAGGTCGATGTCAGTCTGAGATTGTGCGCAATGTTATAACGTACCGCGACCTATCCCGAAGCAGATAGAACGGAATGATTATAGTCGGTAAGATACTAGCACTTCCTCTCACTCCAACCTGAGCAAGAAAACTCATTACGGGCTGATTTTTCAATAGTCAGTTAAATGTTATCTGAGGAATAAAATTGTTGCTGTCACTGTCTTATACAAACATTCTGACGCGACAGGATCATAATTATAGTCTTCCCCAAGTATCTTTTATCTTATCATTGAAAAATCAGCCCTGAATAATATTGCTCCTAAAAACGACCTAAAATAAATTAGGTTTATTGTTACAAATGTTTCTTACACTTTCCTGTTTAAATCAATAATGTAATTTAAATATGATAGCGTACTACAAAACAAGTTTTAACAATAATCCCAACAGATTTCCTTGTAATAAAAACTAAATAAACATCCCTTGTAGAAAACATTCTTTATTTTTCCATAAAAAATATTCTAAGTTTAGTGATTGGATTGGGACTACTTAATATCAACCTCCAGGGATTCCTACTTAATTTTAGTACAAAATTGATTTGTGAAACATGAAATAACTAATAAACATAATAAAAATAACATTTTAGGATAAAAATGTCTGGTTATTAAAAGATTCTATCTACTGTGTTGCTTTATTTCTGTATTTCTTCTGATAGTAAATTTAGACAGAGAATCTCGAAATTAAAATAGTTAAGAGGTTTATTTAAATTTCGTAGGTATGAGAGCTATGTTTTTGATTTCATTGACGCGTAGGAGAACCATGCTATGGCATAAATGGGTGGCTCGACTAGAGTGATACTGTGTCCGTACATATAATGTCGTGTAAATGAGGTAACCTTAGGCTGCTCATTCCGTATCTCCAATCACTGAAAGGCCGGCAAGCCCTTTGCAACTGCTTCAGCGTAGCGAGGGACCATGAACAGTCAGTTGCCGTCAGTTTGCTCAGCTGTAGTAGGCAGTTTAAGGCTGCTGATGATGATGATGACGATGATGATGATGATGAGGATGATGATGATGATGACGATGATGATGACTGCAATAATAGATACCTAAGTTACAAACAGCAACAATAAATTATCGTTTTCTTGCCCTTGCTAACGAAGAAACACAATATGTAAGTATAGTAAGGAGTTATTAATTTCATTTTGTGCGAACAATATTTATTTTTCCTTGCAATAGATACTCACGTAACGTTATAATAAGACCAGCACCATAAGTATAATCTATTACTCTCGGGGGAGAAGCTGGCCTAAAGCAATATAAATTACCTTTCAAATACTTGCCTCTGGAATTTTGGTAGAATATAGTCTTGTTGTTTAGACGAAGGAAGAGCAATCAGTCACTATGAAGTTTATTTTGCCAAAATAAAGACTTTTTTGTTAGTAATTTCTATACGCGGTTGTAACCATTTATTTTGTTCTTTGAAATATGTTATACGTATTTTTTTTATGAAAACAAAATTGTATTATCATTGTCAGGTAGGGTATGTTGTTATAAATGATGTAGTTACAGCATAGTTATTTCGTGAATACAATTTGTTAGATGGAATTGTGTATTGAATTATTCTTATCCCGAGAGAAAAAACCTCGTTAACGTCACAACATAAATAGCAAAAACCAACTCGTATAGTGTTAGATAACACTAGCACAAAGTAAATCATTATCTGTTAAAGTCGACAGCACGGTTGGTGCGGTGGCTGGGCAACTGGCTGCCGTGCAACGTGTCGCGGGTTTGATTCTCGCACGGAACAACTCTTTGTGTGATCCACAAATTGTTGTTCCGGGTCTGGGTGTCATGTGTATGTTAAATTGTATGTTTATAACCGCACCCACGACACAGGAGAAAATCCTAATTTAAATTTAATAAAAAGTTACTCAAATACGAAGACTTAATTAATAATTAAAAGTACGTAATAAACCAAACTATTATGATGTCCCTTTAATGCAGCATTTTAAGCAAAATAGTCTTACTCGTCAACTTCAAGAACTTCCACAAAATTCTATAACATTTTACTAATTGACGTTAGGGTGACATGTTCGTTAATATGAACAAACCCTCAAAATCTAATAAAGAGAAAAAAAATTGACGTTAGCACCCTATTCAAATCAAGAGTTTGATAGAAAATAAGCAATCAATGCGAATGCTTCTCAGAATCTGTGCCAAGTCATAGTGTAGATAATACTTATGCAGAAGTACAAAGGAGGTTAAATAAAACATACATTATATCTAGCACACTATAATATTACGCTGTATTAATTTGACGTTCCCTTTGACCTCAGATTTCCCGGTAATTTACTGTATATTAATACAATTATTACAAATCTTATTTGAATCTTATAGAACTTATTAGAGCAGGCTTATGTTGAGCAGTTGGTGTCTTGTGGCTTATTTTGTGGGCAGAAAATCATCAAATTATTTCTCTTGCCCTGGGGTAAGACGAGAGAGAGAGAGAGAGAGAGTCAGACTCTTACTGACTAAAAACCCGCCGTTCCTTCTCTTCATTTTCCTCCTGTTACATGACCGATGTTGTACTGATAGTGATGAAAAAAATACAATTTTATACACAAAATCTGATTTTCAAAATATAGTTAGGATGATGCTTCTATTTTTTAATATTGATACGGTAGCAAACTACTAGTTAGTCGTATTTCCTATTGGTAACCAATCGCGTCGCTCATGGACACCTGAGAAATTACAAGTAAAGGCGGATGTGAAGCTTAAGGTCATTCAGGCCTATTAAAACAATAAATAACTTCAAAATAGTGACACCAGTAGTTTATAATCAGTGTTATTAATAGCATACTTAGTTCAGATATTTCATATTACATAATACAATGATCAAAGGTTTAACCTACTCACTGGCCTTTATACTGTAGAGGAGCTAGACGCTAGCTTCTTCATTATTATCAATACAATAAGTACCTAAGTTTAATAAGACGCTGAACAGAAAGCTATGTTCCACTTATCAACACTATTAATACTGGAGTTCGAAAATTCTATTTAGTATTCTATATTGGCTTAAGATTTTAAATGTGTTCCTTTTGAATTATAGTTGTAAAATATGTTTGACTTAAATAAATATCGGTAAAAAATAAAGCAGTATTTTAGGAGTGTATTTTCGTGAAATTCTTTTTAAACGTTAGAAACTACATGAATGGTTTATTTCGAGATAAATAAACATCTAAATATAACACCAAAACAGTTCCCTTGGTACTGAAAATAAATATTTCGTGTTCAACGCTAATAATACACAACTTACTGTAAGTGAGTTCATATCTCGTAATATCCGTCGTGTGAACGACCTCAAACAAATCAGAGCCCAAGTGGAACGTACTCTGAATGGATACCGGCTCAGAAACTGACGTGGTGTTCCAGCCCGTTTGAAATTCCAAGGCACTGGCTTGAATGCTCTTTCCCCTCGACCGGGAACCTCACCCCTCTTCACCCCTCCAACGCCCACAGAAACGGCTTCAATTGTTATAGACACCGGAAGCACCCGTGAAATAATCCCAGTTACGGCGAGCGTCTTATTAACACTGATAATCCCGTTGTCTTTATGTGATCAAACAAATTTAATGGTGCAAGTATTATGACGCGCAAAGGGAATAATTAGAGGAACTTATATGTTTCTCGAGTGATTATAGGCGCTCTTGTGTATTTCGGGAGTAATAACAGTCGTCTTATTGTTGGGATGGCCCACGATATGGTTTCGTTAGAGTATCTTTACTTTAGGAATGGTGTTTATATGTATAAGTGTGTTGTTATTTTCAATGCAAAGCAGAGAATTTGCTGATAAGTCGCAAGAATTTGTATTGTATTGTTTTCGATGTGCATTTTTATCGTTAATGCTGATTTCTCTTCAATAAATTTTATTCACGTTTTTGCCTTTTAGGAGCTTTGCTTATCCATCTTGGAGCAAAAAATTCTCCAATAAATGGGAGGGTCAGCGAATTTGTTGGCGGCTAGACCAATAAAGCTTTGGAACTAAGTCTATTGTTAGGGTCGATGCGGCCAACATTTGATACTTGATCAACAGTTCGGACGAAGTGGGTCGGTACCCTTAAAATCTATTTCCTGCATAATCCTGCGGCTTTTCGAAAAATTGGACGTTAAATCTCAGATACGTTTACAAAGGGTTCTTTAGATGGATCAAGTTGCTTACAATGAAATTGATGTAGGTACATTTTTATGGATACGATTTTGTATATAGCAGAAGTACTTGTACATGCAAAACTTTTCAGATCCCTTTATTATTTTTGATACGACCAAACTATCAAGTTATTAATAAAATTAACCAAATCTAAAAACCATTAGCTATAAAAAGAAAAGTTACAAAATAAAAATTGGTCGAGTACCTAGTATTAATAAAACCTAGAACAGTCTATATTTTCAGATATTTCAAGAGCAATCCAGGAGTGAAAGGGCCCCGTATCGACAACGTCCCACGCAAGCTGTAGGAGTTAATTGGAAGGCTCGGATAACTTATTGGTCCTAGTCGTTTATACCTAGTCCTTTCTCTGTTTAGTAGGCACTGTGATCTAGGCTAGGTTTATGTTATTGCAGTTCCGAGCTTAAGTGTAACTGTTAGACAGTATTCAATTAAAATATTATTTTGACCTTTAAACGTTTCTATTTACCCTAAAGAGCTATGCACCTGACATTTTCTTTTAATTTTACCTAGAATCAATATTTTTTTTATTTACCCTTAATTCACCGGAACGGATCTAAGCGAGACACAGTGTAAATACTTTTTATTGTATCTTATATGTCTGCATATTATGAGACACAATGGAAAATATTTAAGTATCCGGCAGACGACAGGTTAAATACAAAACTATTGAAAATAATATCCATTGATGGTTGATTTTTTATGAACAAAATAGGTACATAATAATATGATTATCCTTAAAGATTTTTATTGTGATTTACATTAACTTCCAGAATTCAGCACGGTGGTTTTGTTTCGTTTAAGCTTAAAAGAAGAATAAAAAATTGGAGTACCTATAAGGATTAACTTAGTTTTTGAAGACTTGTTATCGTAATCAGTGATTTAGTAAAGGACTGGAAAATTCATTAATTGCTCCCTAATATAATTCACGGTATACTGGTAAAGAATGCCTTTTCTGCATTAAGCCCGCCATTATATGTATTACATAAAGCGTTAAATAAATAAATTTAAGTTTTTCTACAACTAATCTAGTTGACTACTTAACTCGCAAGAAGTAATACGATTAACGATTAGCTTTAAATACAATTCATTTGTTTCAAAAATGTTTTCTCCTTTGCGGATTTTTATTTCATTTGTTTTGAAGCTGTGTTTAGATGATTGAATTAGAAACTTATATAATATATAATGTTATAATAAGAAAACATGTGTTTGTTTACAAGTCGGTACGAAGAAATTTGTTCACGATATTTGTACCGACATATTTTGTATTAACCAATATTTTTGGCTTCGTATTTTGTTTAGTTGGTGTGATACACGTGTAAGGTGTCGTAAGGTTATATTTTGATCCCTAGAAAATTGTTTTTGGATCTCTTCAAATTAAATTTCGCAAGTCGACTTAGGCCAAAGCTAAAAGTAAATCGATATATACGTGAGACAGCTACTAGGACAAAAACAGGTTAACAATATCTACTTGAAATATTGAACTTACTGTATAAAAATCGTTGACTTTATCCCGTGTCCTGTATAAAAGTAGGTATCAATATAATGAATGTTTTAACAAATCACATATACTTAGAGTGAGCTATGTTCCAAATAAACGAAATTACGTGTTAAATCCATAGTTTTCTCAAATCCCTTGAATAGGTGGGAAAAAGTTTATCTTGTCAGTTGACCCTAAAAAATACTCGAGTTGAAGAGACGTCGCCTGATTAATGGTTCACGTTTATAACAAAAGGTTGACCGACTGACCAACGAAAGCCTGACTTGAGGGGCTCCCTAAGCCCATGAAACGGTAGAGAAATTCTAATTTATCTCACGTATTATCACTATAATTTATTACTGTCACCGCCTCAAGTAATACTTTTGTACTTTTTACTAAGCGAATAATTGAGTTGAGACCCTTTT